GGATGTCTGATTGCCAACTTAGGCCCAATCCCCAGGGGAGTGGGCCTAAGCCAGCAGGTGGTCATCCCCTGAGGGGTCCCAGACTGCGAGAGGGCACAGGCCGGGCTGAGGGAACCCCCCCCCCCCCTTCCGAGTGCACAAATTTTTGTGCACCGGGCCTCTAGTTATATAATAAAGGATATGATAAAGCCATGGTTCACAAACTGCGGCTCTTTGGCCCCTTGAGTGTGGCTCTTCCTAAGCCTTAGGAGTACCCTAATTAAGTTAATAACAATGTACCTACCTATATAGTTTAAGTTTAAAAAATTTGGCTCTCAAAAGAAATTTCAATCATTGTACTGTTGATATTTAGCTCTGTTGACTAATGAGTTTGCCGACCACTGTGACAAAGGATACAGATGAACAGTTGGTGAAGAGGTACATAAGGCAAGGTCTGAAAGGGTTCAAGGCGCACGTGCTTCTGGTTTGTGGAGTTGGGGTGCTCCACCCTCCCAGCATGTGGATATGCTCCCCAATCTTAAAGCCTCTGAACCCTGTATTTAGTGATTTTTCTGAGGCTTCATCAGGGAGGCATGATTGATTATTAACTTAATCTTCAGGCCTTCTCTCTTCCCTGGGGGGGGGCCAAAGTTCCAAGCTTTTTATCTTGGCTTGGTCTTTCTGATCACCAGTGCCCATTCTGAAGCTGTACAGGAGCCCACCAAGAGTCACCTCACTGGAACAAAGATGCTCCTGTCACCCAGGAAATTCCAAGGGATTTAGAGACTCTGTGTTAGGAACCAGGGTCAAAGACCAAATAGAATAAAAAGTTGCTTCTAAGCATCTTTTTCATATACCTTGCTCTTCTAATGGATTGTTTACTGTGTGTGTGGTTTTATAACACTATGCATTGGTAATTTAGAAAATAATTCCTTTCAAATATTGGAAGAATCTTTACATTATAAAACAAATTGAAATTGTTAATGTCACTTGATTTCATCCTATATAATAAGAGGGTAATATGCAAATTGACCGTAAGGCGGAATGACCAGTCACTATGATGCACACTGACCACCAAGAGGCAGGCGCTCAATGCAGGAGCTGCCCCCTGGTGGTCATTGTGCTTCCACAGGGGGAGCACCGCTCAGCCAGAAGCCAGGCTCATTGCTGGAGAGCACAGTGGTGGTGTGGGAGCCTCTCCCACCTCTGCGGCAGTGCTAAGGTTGTCTGACTGACAGCTTAGGCCCGCTCCCCCAGAGGCTCCCGGACTGCGAGAGGGCGCAGGCTGGGCTGAGGGACACCCCTGAATGCATGAATTTCATGCATCGGGCCTCTAGTCAGAAAAGATTTAAAGTACTGGGAAGATATTAAGTTCAAAATGGTGGAAACAAATTTAAACAAAGTTCCAACTTTGCTTGAAAATTCCATATTAATCATTGGCAACAAATACTGTTAATTTGTTCTCTTCCAAGTAACAGACTCACTCGGTTTACTTTTGAGAAAATGTCTGTCAAATACTGAAGTCTGAATACTTATAGTCTGTAGTTTGTTGGTGTTCTTTCAAGTAAAAATAGTGTTCCATGAAAAAGTCAGCCTTTCAGCCTGTCGCCCAGGCATTGCATTGGTGTTTGCGCTCAGCAGCCGCATGCTCTGCATACACAGCATAAGTACTTCTGATTTCATCATACAGTATCAATGAACACGTAAGCCAGTGTTTCAGATTTAATAAAAATTTCCCCTTTTTTTATCAAGGACTTAAGAGAAACTAGACTTTTTCTTTTTGAATAGTTAGTGTGCATAGTTGTGAGTAGTACAGTGAATTGCGCACACACTTGGTTCTACTGCCTTGATTTCTGCTAAGATGCAGCAGTTTTAGGCACTATTGTTTTGCATCATTAGTGCAAATGTGACCACACTAGAATAGGAAAGTAATATGTTAGTATTGTCATGAACATTTTTTACTTAAGGAATCCCCTTTTCTAATAGGGTAAGGGGATCCCCAAGGATCCATGGACCACACTTGGAGAACTTCTAGTATAGAGGAGAGACCACTTGATTTAATAGTTAGAAGACTTAAATAGAAGCCTGTCTGCATTCTTTATTCTATAATGTTATACTTCATTTTCACAACCTCGGTTATCTCATTTATGAAATAGGGTTAAAAACATCTTACTTTGTTATTTGCTTTTTTGGTGTTTGAGTTACAATAGATAAATTATGAAATGCTCAATATAAGTTGTTGCTATTTCTAATTTAGTTTTCTGCTTTAGCCATTTTGGTTTACTTGTCAGTCATGAAACAGTGAACACTCCTCATCATTTCAAAGAAATTTAAAACAGGGGTTTGATTCTTCAGAAATCACTGGAAGAACTGCAGCTCAGCCAGCTGAAAGGATTCCCCGACCCTTGCAGACTGGCCAGCCAGAGAAGCTGCTCCCTCTGCCACAGTCAGGATGGTAGTGAATCAGGAGGCTGCCTCTGGGATTGCTGAGTTCAAGGACATACCTCTGTAGCTGTGGCCCAGGGAACAGGCAGCCAGGATTAGGTAGCTGCCACTGAGCTATGCCTGGACATTGGGATTCAGAGTTTGGTTTCCACTTCTCTATTGCTGACATCCCTTCAACGGAAACTGGACACTGGAATGCTCTATGGCAGGGGTCCTCAAACTACGGCCCGCGGGCCACATGCAAATACAAATACTGTATTTGTTCCTGTTTTGTTTTTTTACTTCAAAATAAGGTATGTGCAGTGTGCATAGGAATTTGTTCATAGTTTTTTTTTAAACTATAGTCCGGCCCTCCAACGGTCTGAGGGACAGTGAACTGGCCCCCTGTTTAAAAAGTTTGAGGACCCCTGCTCTATGGAGCAACCATATCTATCTGTTCAATCATATTGGAGACCACAGCCAAAAGCAGTAGGATAATGGTCTCCCCCCTCACTCTGCCTTCGAAATCTCATGTTCATGCATCCAGTTGGGAGAACCTAAATTTTACCCAGAACTTGAACCACAAGTGGATTGGGAAAATAGATTTGTTTGTTTCAATCTTTCCAGCTTTCGTAGTTGAAGCTAGCACACTCGAAGGATGAAAGAATGGAGTCTGTGGGCTAATTGATTGTATCCCCAAAACCTGTCTTTCTGCTTCTTTGTTCTTTTCAAATTATTTCCTTTACTTCCATTATTCTCTCTTTACTCACCCAAGTTATAGTCATTACTTAATGAGCATGATTTAATGACTCATTATTTATTTAAAATACGTTTTTTATTTTAGAGAGAGAAAGGGAGAGTGAAGGATAGAAACATCAATGATGAGAGAGAATCACTGATTGACTGCCTCCTGCATGCCCCACACTAGGGATCAAGCCCACAACCCTGGCATGTGCCCTAACTGGGAATCGAACTGGTGATGTCCTGGTTCATGGGTTAATGCTTAACCACTGAGCCACTCTAGCTAGGCAATGACTCATTTTAATAGGGCATTTTATGCCCCTCTAGTCCTACCTTTTTCTTCATCAATTTTTATACTGGACTGGATGGCAACACCCAGGTAACATCCACCTACAGCTCTGGTCTAGTGAACTTGGGTTTTGTAAGCCAGACTGAGGAAACCTTTAGCCTGTTGGTATATGCAGGCATATGCCATATTTCAGTTACCCTGCTATAACTTGTTCCATATTTTACTTGGAATTTTTTTTGGCTCCTACTTATTACGTTTTTGTGAGACTTATTACTAGTATACTAAGGACATTAAAATAACACCTTCCATAGCTAACTATTATTTCTAATATTTGTGTAAGCTACTGTTTGGAGAAAAAAAGTATGGATAACAATCAAAGTAGGCTTTTGAAACTGTCAATATACATTATTTCTTTCTCATTAAGTGTGGAATATTCTTCTCTAGTATCTGTATACAACCCTTTAGCCAGATGATAAAATGCAGTTACCTTATTTCCAATGCCCTACCCCTTTTTGTTTGTTTCTCTCTTGTTAAATTCCAGGGTTACAGAGACAAAAAATAATTTTAACATGTCTCAAATATAAATAAAAAATGAATACAAAACTTGTTCAAAATATCAATAAGCATAATTCTAACCACGCAAAGGTAATAACAGCTATACTACTTTCTCTTACTCACCATATTGTTTTGTAATCTCCTACTTAGCAACATACTGTGCCTCCTATCATTGTTTAAATGACAATGGGAGTATTTTTGGCATCTTTTGGGTTAAGGAAATTGACCAGTTTACATTGGCAAATTAGATTAAAAAGTGTTTGTTTTTCTGAAGATGATAATTATAGCCTTTTTTTGGATAAAGAATACTTATAGCTATCAAGATAATTTTCTTTTGCTAGAAAAGAAAATAGTGTCATTTGTTTGTATTTTCTTGTTGTGAAATGAAATCTTTTTGTTAAATTTAAAGGACTGCATGTTTATTAAATACTTCAGAGGGTAGAGTGCTTAATATAGAAAGTAAAAGATCCTTACACTTCCTCCTCTGTTAACTGTCCTCCCCACAATTAACCACTGTTAACAGTTTGGTACATACTTCCAGACTTTTAAAAATGTATATATATGGTCAGTTTCTGAAACCTAATTTTAGAGAGCTCCATTATTAATTGTTATACTATGATAGATAATAGCTAGGTTGTATGGCTACACTGTAGTGTGTGTGCATTTGGGTTAACTTCAAAAAGCATAAATGTAGATGCTTAGTTGATTTCGATTTTTGTTGGTAAAGAAACTTATTAGCTTTTAATCAGACACTTTGTAGTAAATATTGAGATTCCTTTGCAATGAAAAATATTTATGCTCTTATTGTTTTAGGTATATCTTAGAGAAGAACATTAAATTTTGAAGTAAAGCAATTTATAATTGGTTTGCATTCTCTTCAGAGAGGCTCTTATACAGAATTAAGTTGGCGCTGACTTTGGTTTGAAAGGGTAATTGCGTATAACTCCATGATAAGAATTATCTTTCGTTTTGTTTGACTTTTAATTTTGAGTAAGATAGTTTTGCTTTTCAGATGTGATTGATCTCACTGGAGATGATAAAGATGATCTTCAGAGAGCAATTGCCTTGAGTTTGGCGGAATCAAACAGGGCATTCAGGGAGACTGGAATAACTGATGAGGAGCAAGCCATTAGCAGGTAAAAACATAATGTGTATAAAGTAGATATAAGTACTATTTATAATAGACATAATAATTGGCTTAATTTCAAGAGGCACAAAGATACACTTTGTTATTCTAAATAAACTCTTAATATACTTCAGCATTGTTTTTATATGTTATGTAACTAAAATTTTCATATTCTAGTTCCATTTGAATATGAAGCTTAGATTTTAGGATTTGAAGTGGCATTATGGGGCATATGTTTAGGTGTATAGTTTAATATTCCTTTGATTTTTTCTTTTCTTCTGCTAATCTCTTTTACATTCTCCAATTTAATTTATAATTATTTATAGCTAGAGTCAGCAAACTTTTGTTTTTGTAAAGGCCTATAGTACCAGTAAATATTTTAGGCTTTGTTAACCATATAGTTTCTGTCAAAATCACTTCACTCTGGTGGTGTAGTGCAAAAGCAGCCATAGATCATACATAATTTAGTGATTGTGTCTGTGTTTCAATAAATCTTGGTTTTATCAAAACAGGCTACCAGCTGGATTTGGTTCATGGTCCATAGTTTGCCAGTCTCTCATCTATATAATATGATGGTACAAGGTTTATTTTTCGTGTTTTTTGTTTGTTTGTTTTGTTTTTGTATTTTTTTAAGGAATTGGCAAGATCCCAAGGAATGTGATAGAATGCCTCTTTTGATTTAAATAGCTAAAACTTTTTAGTTTTAAACAATTTGATCCACCAAAGAATCAAATAAGTAAATTTGATTTTTTTTAAATCACAAAACAGTGATAATTTTTTAAAAAGTATTTAAATTATCACTGACTATAATCTAAACAACTCTTTGGAGGTGTTGGTAACTTACTGAAGAGGAAATTTATCTTTTAAGAGGCTAACTGATTTCTTAAAAGTTCACAGCTAAGATGGGTCTTATGACTCCAGCATTCTTTTTCCCTAAAACAGAGGTTGGTAGCTAAATATATCAGCTTTCTCAGATAATTTCCCTTGGCATAATATCAATAGTTACTTCTTTTAAGTACTCTGAAATTACTGTATAGTAGGAGATTCTCAAAATACTATGTTTATGCTATGCACATAATTTTTCTTAGTGATACTTTTAAATGTCTTTAAATATTACTTAGGAAACTATCTTGTAAGACATTATATTAAAATGGAAAGAGTTAATTAAAATTCATTATCCTTTTTAGTGTGGCTAACATAACTTATTGTCAGTAATTTTAAATGAAAACCAAAAATGCATAGGCTATCTTTAGATATTTTATTTAGGCTTATTTTGTGAAGGATTTGGAGAAATTATAAAATTAGTTTTTATCTTAAGAAAATAGTTTAAAATAATTATCTTGAGTAATTATAAAACTTGACCGTACTTAAGCTTTGATAAGAAATGTTTAAACATGAAATACATGAGTTGTATTTCATATTTAAGGGGAATGATGATCTATTATGTGAACAAGAGGTTGTAAGATATTATTAGCAGTTTTATGTCACATATTTTCTAATTTTAAAATAATATGTACTAATTATATAGTAAAAAGTAAAAATAAAGGTAGGGGATTAAGACTATTCCTAATCTGTTATTAAGTTCAATCTATATATTGTTCTAGATACTCATTCTTTTCCAAGTGAAAAAATTTCTTAAGATAATTGGGTTTTTAAATTTTAATGTACTTTTAAAATAGTAAATATTTTGTGAATATTTATATTGTGGGTAACATTACAGAGATTTGGAATAGTGTAATTTTATATAAAATTTTATATAAAATTACACTCTGTAGAAACAAAAAGTCATTAATTTACTGTTGCAAAATGTAATTTTTTCTTGGTATATATAGATTTTATAATTTACAGTTTTGAAATGTTAAATGTAAAATGTGCAGTTAATAAGCATGTATATAAATCACATTGTGTCAGAAAAAAGGGAAGGTAAGAGTTCTAGCTAAACTTTGGGCAGAGATATATTTGTTCCTCTGGGTTTTTTAAGGCTAGGACTTAAGTTCAAAAGGGAAAACGATGCATTTTAATGGTAAAAAAAAAGTCATGCTTAAAAGTAAATTTAACTATTTGTTCATTACCCAAGTTCAGATGACAAAATGTTGCCAAATTAAATCCTAGAATCATTTGACTATGTTTCTATTTTCTAGACATACAGGGTGGGGTAAAAGTAAGTTTATAGTTGTTTGTACGGAAAATAATATAACAATAAATAATACAAGATAAACTTGTTTCCCATACTCACAACTGTAAACCTACTTTTGCCCCACCTTGTACCCTAATATGAGTTCACATATTTGAAATACTACATTAATTATATACAATTAGATGAGATGAAGTCTGTCTTTTTACATCTTACAATCTTGTGTTTAGTAACTCATGAATTTTATGGTATGATCTCTTAAGTTGAACATTTTTATTTTTTATTTATTTTATAAGAAATGTATGTGATATTTACATATATCACATATGTCTAAATATATAATTATACATATCAACAATTGTGTTATATATGTCACTTATGAATCTATGCTTGCAAACAATATTAAAGTGTACTACTTAATATAATTACTTCTTACATTAGTAAAGACTAAAGTAAGTGAAAGAAGGAACCCAAAAGAGTAAGTTTGGAACACTGAAAGTCACTTTTTGACATGATGAATTTGCTTGTGTGTATAAACTTGACCTTTAGTTATAATACACTTTAGAATGTGGGAAAAAGAAGTCTCAGGCCATTGTCTATGTACAGTGGGGAGCTTATTCCCCTCATTAAATGGTTATGCCAAGGGATGACATACTCACAATAGGGTAAAATGAGAATCATCTCCCCCTTCAAAGCCCATACAGCACTACAAAGTTAGTTGCCTTGGCTCTGAGGATGTAGGTAGTTGGACTTGCCCCTGAGGAGTTGTATTATGGTTTTGAAGCTGAAATCTGTGTCACTTTAATGGTCCACTAAATCTTAACCTGGGAATTTAGTTTTAAAATGTGTTGGATTTGTGTTGTCTATAATTCCTGGCAGAATCAAAAATACATTCTATATTTAAGAAGGTGTCTTCAACTTTAGCCTCAAAGAACCCCCTTCAGTAACTCTATAAGCACCACAGTCAAATTTACCAAGCATACTTGGGAAAAAGTTACTGTGAGAATCAGCAAAAATTATAGGCAGCAAAAATGCACCCATTTCTTTAGACGTTGTGATTGATGGAATTATGCTTAGGTTTTATTGGGGAAAGTTGCTCAGAGTATGACACTCTTATTTATTTTTTACCATTTTTTTTCTTTTTTTTTAGCATTGACACTAATACAGACATGCCCCATTTTTCCTTCATTTCCTTTCTTCTGGCCATCACCACACTGTTTCCTGTGTTCATGGGTTATGCATATACTACAGGCCCAGTGCATGAAATTTGTGCACGGGGGAGGGGGGTGTCCCTCAGCTCAGCCTGCACCCTCTCCAATATGGGAACCCTCTCACAATCCAGGACTGCTGGCACCCAACCGCTTGCCTGCTTGCCTTCCTGATTTCCCCTAACTGCTTCTGCCTGCCAGCCTGATCACCCTCTGACCACTCCCCTGCCAGCCTGATCAATGCCTAACAGCTCCCCTGCAGGCCCAATCACCCCTAACTGCCCTCCCCTGCCAGCCTGGTCACGCCTAACTGCCCTCCCATGCTGGCCCGATCGCCCCCAACTGCCCTCCCCTGCAGGCCTGGTCTCCCCCAGTTGCCCTCCCCCGTTGGCCTGATCGCTCCCAACTGCCCTCCCCTGCAGGCCTGGTCCCCCCTAACTGCTCTCCCCTGTAGGCCTGGTTGCCCCCAACTCCCCCCCCCCGCACCCCCGCGAATTTGGACACACCTAAATGGCTTCTCCTGGAGGGCGGAAAAGCACAAAAAAGGGCCTCCCCCGCCCAGACAATTTATGGCACAAAAGGGTGGCCATCTTTTGTGTTTTGAGTGATAGGGAAAATTTCACATTAGCCCCCTTTATAAAAAAAGAAGGACCTCGGGGCAAGATTTTTAAAAAAAATCTTTACAAAATAGCAGAAAAACATTTTAAAAAAAAATGGAGAAACATTTTGGGAAAAGAAATAAAAAAAATATTTAAAAAAACCCACACACGTTTTTAATACCGAGTAGCA